CTCTTCCCCCAGCCTGTAGCGCTGCATGGGGTTGTTGTGGCCCAAGTGCAGGACCCGGCACTTGGCCTTGTTGAATCTCATACAGTTAATCTCATACTTCTGTGATGACAGCCACGGGGGCTTTCCCAGGGCAGCCCAGAGAGTCTCCCCACACTTTTTCTTACCGTCTTCAATGCTCCCAGCCCTCCTCCCCAAGGTTTGTTTTTTTTTTTTATTTTCCCACTGGGTTTAAACTCCCGTCTTGCACCTCCTTCTCCTTAGAGCTGGTTTTAATTTGAGCCTGTTGCTTTTGCTCCTTGATGGAAGAAAGCGGCAGTTGGCCCAGCACCTTGGTTTTTCCTCTGCTGTAGCAAGAAGAGATGACTCAAAGTCACATTAGCATAGCCTGACCCCGGCTTCATGTGCAAACCATTTCAAATGAGCTTCAGAAGCTGCCGGGGCGGTTGAGAAATGACTGCAAACATTTGGGGCGCAGGGAGGGCACGGTGCCTTCAGCAGCACCTGCCTACAGCTCTCTGTTAAAAATCCCCACTTGTCTGGATTTATTGAGCAAGAATAATAGGGGGGAAAAAAAGTCCTCTTCCTGCTTGGAAACTCTTAAGCATAAAGCTTAAAGCAACCAACGGTTTCTTGAGGTGGTCCTTCGCCCCTTTGCCTCGCCTACGAGCCCAAGGTGACACCCCAAGGATGAGACCCAAGCTGCTGGGGTTCAGCTGAGCACTGGGACCTGTGACCGTTGAGGAAGTACATCACATTACAGTGCATCCCTGCACGCAACGATATTCAAGCAGCGTCAGGAAGCTGATTACACTTACAGCATGATCTACGAGGAAGGTAAGTTCTGGGAAAAGCAGCTTCTTGCCTGTAAAAATTGGGGCTGGCTGAGTCACTACCAGCTGGAGCGACGCTGGGGCTGGGATGGGGAGGACCACCCAGAGAGAGAGGTCTCTTATTTTGGGGGCTGAAATAATGAGCTGTGGCAAATTGAAGGGAGGGAAGAAAAATAAAACAACCACCCCAGACCTCAAAATCACTACTTTTCAGCTGGTTTAATCGAAGCTTTTGCCACCACGGGTGCCCTGTCCTCCCTGCGTTTTTTATTGTGGTTGTTTTGAGCTTCTGGACGTGTTTTTTTCAGTTGGTTTTTAATTTTTTTTCTCTCTGTTTTGCTGCTTTGTAAGCACTTTTCAGCACTGCTTTTTTTATTTCAGCCCCTTCTGGGTAACAAGGTTGCTTTCTCTGGAAAGGGATTAAGAAAATCATGGTGAAAAGAGGTGAATAATTATATGATAAAAAGGACTTAGATTGGTTTCATTTAAGTGGCATTAATAGTGGATTTGGGGGATCTGGAGTGGATCGGCTGGAAACCACAGTGGGCTTGGGAGGGATAAAACCTGGGCAGCTCAGGCTGCCCTGCGTGGTCTCTTAATTTTGGGAGTGGGTGAAAAAAACGAATCTCCACACTGTCTTTTTTAAGGGAATTTTTACAGTCGTCATTACAAAGCAGAGCCAAAAGCAGAAGAGAAGTTTCTAGCTTGAAATGGGGAAACTGAAAGCTTGGGCGGGGGACTTTTTTTAATCTGAAGTCGATACTTTCATTTCTTGTATCTTAACGCTTCAGTCATAACAGCTCACCCAGCCCAGGGCTGGAGGGTTTCTAGCTCAAACCCAGCTCAGAGATAGGACAGCCCACCCTTGTTATGAATCTTTCTCTTCTCTACTGCCAAATTTAACCCTCAAACTGCTTCTGAAACACTATACCCGAGCACATCCTCAAGCACTGAATTTCCCTCCTGCAAATCCCCTGTGCAGGGGAAGGGAAATTCTTTGCACTTCTTCCTTATTTACTGACAACTACAACCTGCCCCTACGTGACTTTAGAGCTTATTCCCAGAACCAAATTGTATTGTTGTACCAAGCCCAACTTGTTGATAGGCTTTTATTGGTTTATTTTGTAATCTGAAGGTACACAATGCCCAGGGCAGGAATAAATGCTGGTGCAACCCGTTGGCTCAGCTACAGGAAAACAAGCGTGCCCTTTGCTCCATCCAAGCGCAGGCACTGGAGGAACTGAGATAAGGGTGAACGGAGATAAGGTTTTCCGGAGAGCAAAACAAGTTTGCTGCGAGCAGCTGCCACGCATGCAACTTCAACCGCAGCAGTAGTTTCGTTTTAAGCTCAGCTTCTTCCCCTCCTGTGGGTTTCTTGCGGGGGGTGCTGTCAAACTGCGAGCTCTGGTTTGACCCCTCAGGGAGTTCGCTGTCTCACTGCAGTGACAGCTCCTGATCCCTTAGCAGACTTGTCTCCCTTCGTAAACCCTTAAACTCCTTTTAAACTGTAAGTAGTTAATAACTCATATTTTTCTTTTAGTATCTTTTAATATTTAAACTCCCTTTAAACGTCCCTTCTTTTCTCTCCTCTCCCCTTTTTTTCCTCCCCTCTCCCCCTCCTCTCTTTCTCCCCCTCCCCTCTTTCTCCCCTTTCTCTCTTTCTCCCCCCTCCCCTTTCTCTCTTTTTCCCCTCTCCCCTTTCTCTCTTTCTCCCCCTCCCCTTTCTCTCTCTCTCCCCCTCCCCTTTCTCTCTTTCTCCCCCCTCCCCTTTCTCTCTTTCTCCCCCTCCCCTTTCTCTCTTTTTCCCCTCTCCCCTTTCTCTCTTTCTCCCCTTTCTCTCTTTCTCCCCCCTCCCCTTTCTCTCTTTTTCCCCTCTCCCCTTTCTCTCTTTCTCCCCCTCCCCTTTCTCTCTTTCTCCCCCTCCCCTTTCTCTCTTTCTCCCCCTCCCCTCTTTCTCCCCTTTCTCTCTTTCTCCCCCTCCCCTTTCTCTCTCTCTCCCCCTCCCCTTTCTCTCTCTCTCCCCCTCCCCTTTCTCTCTCTCTCCCCCTCCCCTTTCTCTCTCTCTCCCCCTCCCCTTTCTCTCTCTCTCCCCCTCCCCTTTCTCTCTCTCTCCCCCTCCCCTTTCTCTCTTTTTCCCCTCTCCCCTTTCTCTCTATCTCCCCTCTCCCCTTTCTCTCTTTCTTTCCTCCCTCTTTTTTTTTTCCTACCCCTCTTCATCTTCTCTCACTTTGTCCTTCTTTGTCTGTCTTCTTTCCGTCTTTCTTTCCCCCCCAGTGTGTTTTTAGCATAGGACAAACATGCTCCCCTGCCATGGCTTCCTATGGTACCTGGTGCCCACGAGGTCTTGGAGTGTTGCAGAGGCAAAAAAAAAAAAAAGGCTCTGGATGGCTTGATGGGATCTTGCAAATGCGGGAGGCATGACTGGCTGCAGACTTTCTCAGCCTTTTCCTTGTTAACACGCAGCCTGAGCAGTGGTCCCTGCAGACACGGGGGGAACATGAGCTCCTGGGCTGGGTTTGCCAGCCGATGCTAAAACGCGACAGTCCGGCCCTTCTCAGCCCACAATGGGGAAAGGAGCCAAAGAACCAGATTCTTCAGACCGAGAGGAAGCGTTGAACAGCTGCAACGATGTAGAGAAAGAGTACAAATGGGGTAATGCTGGGAAAAAAACAACGCTCTGGGTGAGGGCAGGTGGGAAGAGCAGCTCGCTCGGGTGGAGCACCAGTGGGATGGGGACGGAGTTTTTGGGTGGGTGCAGATGGACCCAAGCACATCTACCCTAAATTTAATGATGTGGCCACCTTGAAAGGCTGAAAAGCCTAAATCCATCTCCAGGTCCTCAAACACACATTGGTGCCTTTGAAGGACACACGTCTGCTCTCCCTGCCTTGCAGACAGCCCCTTGAGCCTCTGCGAGCTCTCCCCACCCTCCTGAGCCCCAGAAAGGTCCCTGTCCCGACCAGGGCTTGGGATGGACTGAGGATCCAGCAGAAAAAGTGCAAAGGAGGTGGAAGGAGGACAGGACCCAGCCCACACCCTCTCCTGCTCTTTCCTCCCCCAGGGTCCAACACCAAGAAGTCAGACAGCGAAAGATCCCGCTTGTTGCGGGTTTTCATCCCTGTGTGTGGGGGGCTGGTGCTCACCATCTTCGTCCTGCTGGTGGCCTTGACTGGTGAGTCCCATCCAGGCATCCCCCATGGAGAGGATCTGGACCAGGCGCCTCTGTTTCGGGAAAGGGGGGATCGCAGGATTTTCCCAGCATCAGGGGATGCTTCCCGAGCAAAGCACCAAGCCCGCTTTGGGGGGGGACACCCCCTTTTTTCCCTAAACTGTGATCCAGGCATCCTGGCTCCTCGCTTGGTTACGCCATTCACTTTCCCAAGGGCATTGTTGCCAATTTCCCCCCCTGAAGCTTCTAGGAAGAAAATAATAAATCCCATTTTCCTGGTTTTAGTGCTGCCCATGCGTCTCACTCAGCTTTTTCTTTCTCAGTTGTACGTTTGGAACCCTCTTTGCCTCGCCTGGACTTCTCCCACGTGTGCCCAGACACCTGGCTTGGTTTCCAAGGGAAATGCTATTATTTTTCTGAGACTGAGAACAATTGGATGGTCAGTCAGGAAAGGTGTGAGGCCCTGGGAGCTTCACTGGCCATTATAAGCACCGAGGATGAACTGGTGAGAACTGTGCTTGAGCCCCTACACTAGAACCAGGGTAGGAAACATGAAAAAAGAAAACAAAAAAGAGGCCAAAAAAAAAAAAAGGAGGGGGGGGCAAAAAAAAAAACCAGACCGAAAACCTGCTTGGCCCCAAATTGCACCTGATGCTGTAGCCAGGAGCAGATCCCTCCGGGAAAGCACCATCTCTGGGTGGGGTGATGGCCACAGGTAGAAAAGAGGAGGTGGGGAAGACAAGACTAGCTAAAACATGATGTTTCTTTGCTTTAAAGGCCTTTATTAAACGCTATAAAGGCGAAGCTAACCATTGGTTTGGGCTGCAAAAGGAGAAGGATGGGAGCTGGTGGTGGACCAACGGCACAGCCTTCAACAACTGGTCGGTCCCTCTGTCCGTGTTGGGTGCTTGGGGTTGGCAACTGGGGCAGATTTCCCTCTTGGTGTGGTTGGAAATGGCCCCGGGGGGCTGTTGCGTTGCTTCTCCCCCCTTGGATGGGATTTCTTAGAGGGTCTGGGATGACCCGTCCTGGGATGGGGACCTTCTCCTGCCACTGTGCCCAAGCAGCCCCTGGCTTTCCATGGGAGGTTTGGGATGGACCAAGGATGCTGCACACCAATCCCCTATTAGATACCCTCAGCCAAACGCCACCCCTTCTCTCCTAGAGAGGAAATCCCAGCTTTTCTTAATTTTTTGGGGGGTAGCTTTCTTCTTTTCCTCCTTTTCTTGCTCTCCTGAGCACGTCTGCATTGCAGGTTTGAGGTGCGGGGTGGTGGACCCTGTGCATACCTCAACCAGGAGAGGATCAGCTCGTCCCTGTGCCACACCAAGAAGAACTGGCTCTGCAGCAGACCTGACAACTACATCCTCTGGCAGCAAAAAGCATATCCATAAAAAAAGACCCCATAAACAGGAGCTTCATCCCAGGTGAAGGAGAACTGAGCACAGTTTTCTTTGGTAAAACCTTATACCCGACTCTATCAGCAACATTTATGAGTTTGCATTTTCATGAGACTTTCTGCTCAGAGGCTAGACTATCATTGTCACTGTTGCTGGAGCGCTGCACCAGAAAAAGCATAGCATTTTCCGTGATCTTTCGAAAGCCCGCTTTTGCCTCTAAGTCAGTTAGGTCCATAAGATACTCACTTGAGTGAATTAATGGCAATGAGTAGATCTTGCTGTTGGAAGGGGCTGAAAAAAGGTGGGGAGGGAATTTGCTGAAATGGTGAATTTGCGTGGGCTTGGAGTGTTTGAAGGTTGGTTTTTTTTACAACAGGTTTTTTTTTTTTACAAAAAGGTGTTCTGGTTTTTTTTAAAAAAAAACAACCCCCCCAAAAAAACAAAAGCCCCAACCAAAACCCCCCCAAAATCACAACCCAACCTGCCCCCCCCAAAAAACCCAAAATGCAAAAAAAACCCAAAACAACCCCAAACCAAAACAAACAAAACCCCTCCAAACCACCACCAACAAAAAATCCCAAACCAACCACAAAAAACCCCAAAAGACCAAAAAAAACCCCAAACACCCCGAAACCCCCAAAACCCAGCTGCCTGCATCGGTCCCTGTGCTGATGCTCTCAGCTGCGCCCAGGGAGATGCACGCCTGGTGCAGACCCCTCACTGCAGCCGTCGCTCGGGAAAACTTTCTTTAACTGAACTCGCCATATTTACATTTTGTGCCACCTGTACTCTTGTTCGCAAGCGAGTGTTATTTCAACAAATAGAAGAAAACCAGTTTTACAGGCGTTTATTGTTGCCGTAGCTCTATTGACACAGCGCCCCGGGGCACAGATGTTTCTGGTTTCCCAGCTCGGGACCCCAAATATTGGCGGCAAGCGTCTCGCAGGCTGGGCGTTTCGGGGTGGGCACGCGTCAGACGGAGGGATTGCATTTCTCTCCGTCTCCTGCCATCGGTGGGGAGAGCGGGAAAGGGTCTTTCTGGCAAACCCACTTGTGTTCCTCTTGACAGGTATTGGCCTCCACCCCCTCGTGTCTCAGTGTCCCGCACGCTTCATCCACCTCCTGCAGGATGCCAAACCTGCAGAACAAAAATTTTATTGCGTGAGAGGAGCAAACTCTTGCAGGCGTGCAGAAGAGGGGAGGCGGGGGGGGTTTCTCCTGCCCTTTTTCTGCACCATCTCATCGTGCTACAAACGATTTCTCGCCGGTGGGTTGCCCAGATTTGAGTGCAGGTTGCTGCGCTTGCAGTAAGATCTGCAAGGAGCATGCGTGGGCTGTTAAAAGCCATGGGTGCAGCGGGAGGTGTTGGGTTACCGTGCTCCATAAACCCCCAACTCTTGGTCTGCAAAACTTCGGCAAGGGGAATACGAGACCGTCGCACAGACAGCAAGATCTTGGAGGGATGGGTTGGGGCACGCTCCGGGTCTGAAATGGAGCAAAGCCGCTTTTTACGCAAACGGATTGCGGATACACTCACATTTCGGTGTTGAAGGATGTGTTGTCCACCCACATCCACTTCTTGCGGGATATTAATCCGATCCACACCGGCTGTTTGCCTCTGCCTGTAATAATCTTGATGTACTCCTGGGAAACGGAGGTAAAAAAAAACAACCGAAATCTCTCTGTGGAGAGTTTCGTGGGGTGCAAAGCCACAGAGTAAATCTGCCTTGTTTCATCCCCCAATAGATGGGACATGAATGTCCCCCGTGCTTTGACTGCCGCCATGCACCATCTCTAAAGGCAGCTCTGGGGTGAAAACAGCTTCAGTTCAGAGCCTGAGACACCGATGTCTCCATCTCAGCTCTGCATCCCTCCTCTTCCTCCCATGTCACGGGTGGGTGGGGGGACACAGAGGGGCTTTAGGTGATGATTCAGCCCCTTTTTCTTCCCGGTCACTTCTTAGGAGACATCAGAGCAGGAGATGGGTGAGAGCCACCATTGCAGCCCCAAACCCTCCTGCTGCCAGGCACTTTTTGCTCCCTTGCCCACCTCAGAAAAAAAGGTCTTTCGGGTCCTTTTCAAGCCTTCTCCTCCATATTTACCTCTTCTTTCTTGTCCCGGAGCACTACCAGCTGAGACTTCTGATTTTCGCAGTCTGTCTTGCCATGAGTCCAATTTCCCTTTTCCTTGGAAAGCCAGTAGCATCTGTCCCTGTGGAGCTGCCAGTCCTGGGGACACAGCTTGCAGCCAGCACGGGCTGAAGAAGAGAAAGAGCCGTGAGACGCCCCAAAGGGTGGTCAAGGTCTTGCCCGGCAACCAGCTGAAAGGCACCGAGGGCTTCCCCATCCCACGCCCCGGCCCTTCGCCCATCCTTGAGGTTTTTTTCACACCGTTGTGGTTTTTCCTGCTCAGCCACCGGCGAGGAGGAGGAGGAGGACTTCAGTGGGGTGACCACAAGGACACTAATGGCTGGTTAGGGTGGTGAGGAACCTCCTCCCTAGGTTTGACCCTGCTCCTCCATGGAAGAGGGGTCAGCAAAAATTGCACGCAAAAAAATAATTCTTCCTTGCAACGCTCCTCTTGGCCACAATAACCCTTGGTGGCCTTGCACCCCCCAAGGTGCCTCCTTGCAATTGGGTGGGAGGGAAGCCCCATCAAAGGTCCCACCTGAGCATCTCCCAGCAGAGCCGGGTGGGAAGGGGGTTACCTGTGGGGCTCTCCTGCCGGGGCTCGCAGAAATACTGCATCAGGGATGAAATCAGGCATCGCTCCGTGTGGTTCCTTCCCCGGATCTCATCGCCTTGCAAGGGAACGCTTGTCGTCGCTGGCTGCAGAGAGCCCTGAAAAACTTGGAGGAATGACCTGGGGTGAGAGGCCGCGGCTCTTTGGGGGTAAAAACCACAAAAACCGGGTAGGGCTGGGTTTGATTTTGTGCCAGCCTCCTTTTCCCCCACCACGGTTGCACCCGGTTAATTAAGCCAGCCTGGAAATCGTGGCTTGTGTCCTCCACCCTTGTTTGAAAGCTACGGGGATAGTCCAGGTTTATTTCAGAGGGGGTTTACTCCTGGCGGGTGATGCATCTCGTTGCATCTCCGTGGGGCAACCGCGTTCCCCTCCGAAGGCTGAAATGTTGAAATAAATCCTGACTTCCCCTCCCAGCCCGTTCCCTGGGTTTTGAGGTGTAGATAAGAGGTGGTGACTCACCCTGCACGCTCAGCACCACCACCAGCACCAGCAGGATGAGGTGCCCCAGCCCACTGACTTTGAGGAGGACCCCATGCCACTGTGGGCACAAGGCAGGAGCTGAAAGAGGCCACATTTGCTTAAAAAAAAATGTACATTTTCACGTGAAAATGCTGGGAGCTTTTTGAGGAGGGGGGGGAAAAAAAAAAACCCCAAACCCAAAACGCCCCTGTGTTGAGCCAGCGAGTTTGAGCGGAAGTTTACAGCTGTTTGGCTTCCTCCAAAACAACAAATCGCCACTGATGAGATCTAGAGATTGGATGCAGAAGTGAGGGCATCATCTCAGGGTGGTTTTTCAGGTGGTGGAGGGGCTGCAGGTAGCCTCGAGAGCAGCCAACGATGGAGCTTAGCAGACCTGAAACCTTCTGAAACTGGCGGAATTTAGAGCAGGCGAAAGCCCCTCGCGGTAGAGCCGGCAGTCGGGGGGGACGTGGGTCTCCCCAGACCTCATCTCCACCGGGATCCCAGCCGTGGTCTCAGCAGCTTTGCTTTCCGTCGAGGTGTGTTGGCTCACGTTGGGCTTCGTGGGACCCATTTTTGCCACCGAGTGAAAGGTCTCGGAGGCAAAACTGTTCAGCCTCCGGGCGTTTGCTGGCTTACCTCCCCCCCACCCCTTGGGCGTTTGCTGGCTTCCCTCTCCCCCATCCCTTCCTCGCTTCCCCCCCCCCACGCAAGCCAGGATCCCACCTTAGAGGACATTTGACCCGTCCAACGTTCTCCATGTATCTTGGAAACATCAACACGGGGATGGAGGAGCAAGCAAACCCAGAGGTCTTCCCAAAGCAAGCAAAGCTTGAAATAAGCGCTTTCCCCCCAAAAAAAAGATAACACTTACTGTGACGCTTCTCGGCAGGAGAAGAACCGGCCCCAGGATGCCTTAAATCAGCATAAACTATTTCCCCAGCCATGGCCAGCTCAGGAGATTGAGAGAGCGTCCCAAGAGTGAAGCCGTTCTTGGGCAAGCTCTCACCTTATTGACCAACCCGCTCGCGCCTGCGTCCAGCCCCAGGAAATGGCATCGTCTGGGCGTTTTATCTTCTTTTTTTTTTTTTTTTTTTAATACTTATATCCTACAGCCTTCCCTCGTAAATTAAGGCCTATGAGGGGGTAGGTGTCCTCTAGCCGGGAGGAAGTCGCATGTTTGGAGGCGTAGAAACACCTGCGGGTTTAATGATTGTGCCGAGCAGCCAGGAAAACCTGCAGAGATGAAAAAATAATAATAATTTTAAAAAAAAAAGCCTAAAAAGAGGGTCAGACTGAAGCATACTGGGGTCCAGACCAGCGTGGCCGGAGGCAGATAATCAGGTGAGGAGGAGAAAGGCGACGTTTGGCGTTTCTGCCCCAGAATATTGGCCGCGAGCGGCTTGAGACGGCTTTTGCCGTGCGCGGCTTTGTCCTCTGCTCCGGCTGCTTTTGGCACAGCAGTTGGGCGCTCCTTCGTCCCGCGGCAGGGAGAGCCGTACAGGGACGGGGCGCCAGGGATTGCCCGGCTCTCGCACTGGAAGAGGCCGGAGAGTCTGTTTTTCCTGCAGGCTGCTAATGAATTGAATCGAATTGAATTTTATTTTATTATTTTATTTTATTTTATTCATTTAATTTCATTTCATTTTACTTTATTTTACTTTATTTTATTTTGTTTCATTTTATTTCATTTTACTTTATTTTACTTTATTT